CTCTCTCTCTCTCTCTCTCTCTCTCTCTCTCTCTCTCTCTCTCTCTCTCTCTCTCTCTCTCTCTCTCCCTCACACACACACAAAAAAAAAAATAAAAAAATAAAAAAAATGAAAGCACGATTTTGCGCACCTCGTATCCTAACCACGTGCGTGAATTTGTGCCTTAAACCTCCAACCCCCTTTCGGCGACTTACACCTAGCCTCCCCTCCTCAACCCTTCTACTTTCCCCCTAACATTTCCTCTTCTCCCTCCTTTCCCTTCTCTGTACTTTCCCCTTTGTATTCCTCCCCCTTCTCCTCCTCCAGCTCCATCTCCTTCTGCCTCCCTACCCACCCTCCGCCTTAGGCTCCCGCCTTCCTTTTTCTCCTCCTCCTCGTGTTCCTCTTCCTCTTCCTCGTCCTCCCCTTCATGTCGCTTCGTCTCCCTTTCGCGATCAGAGTGAATAGGAAAGAAAAACAAAAGCACCATAGCCTCGTCCTCCCCTTCATGTCGCTTCGTCTCCCTTTCGTGATCGGAGTAAGAAAGAAAAACAAAACCAAACACCATAGCCTGTCTCGGCCCCCTTTCCCCACGCCACTATCATCTCACCTTGTCCTTGCAAAAAAATGCTCCTTACTCCTTATCTTTCATCTTCATCGGCGTCTTCAACCTCGTTTTCATCAGTCAGCATCGTCATGGTAGGTTGCATGGGCTCTCTCTCTCTCTCTCTCTCTCTCTCTCTCTCTCTCTCTCTCTCTCTCTCTCTCTCTCTCTCTCTCTCTCTCTCTCTCTCTCTCTCTGGCGAGCGCGCGCGCACCCACCCACCCACAGTTCGTGTGAACCCCACGAAAAAGCATGACTGTGCCAGACTGTTTCGTTGGACTTTCACCAACTCATCAGGAGGTTGAACCCCGACAGTCTGCCCATGATGCATTTGCATGCATGCGTGTGTTCGTGCTTGTGCGTGTGTGTGTGCATGTGCGTGTGAGTGTGCATGTGCTTGTTCGAGTGGACGGACGGGTGTTAGTGTGAATGTGTGCTGTGCGCTGCCAAAGAGGAGACCATGCTTAGCCCGAGAGGAGACCGTCCCGCCTGGAACTGGTTTCTCCCCATCCCTGCCAGCCCTAACTTCGGTTGCGCTGCAAACTTCTAATCTGGGCCGTCAGGCCGGTAGGACTGCGAACGGCCTGGATCGCCACGCGATCTTCAAATCTTAAGATCGCGGGGCAATCCAGGCCGTCAGGCCGGTAGGTCCGCGGACGGCCCAGATGCCAAAATTCTCACATTAGCGATTTTAACGAGTGTAGTGTAATGACCCACCATAACACAGACTGGGAACACTGCTGATTTCTGAAGTTCTGCCGATGGAATGGATGCCTTGCCGAGATTCCCGCATTCTGCTGTGTTTTCTAAGTCTGTATGTGTGCGTGGCTGTGGACTTGCGTGCCTGTCTGAGTGCTTGTCGGCATGAGTGTGTGTGTGTGACCCGCAAGGGTACTTGCTTGTTTGGCAGGCCCGTAGGGCCGGTACTTACCTGTGGCCATGGCATTGAGGGTTGCAGCAGGGAAAACACTCGAGTAGCGGAGCCAGGGGCCCGCGGTGCTCAGAGCAGCGGAAAAACAGTCAAGTAGCAGGTAGGCCGGTACCACACCCAGTAGCAGTAGATGTGCCGGGTACTCGAGGCCGAGCAGAAGAAGACAAAGTTGGCATTTTTAGAGGCCCAGTAGCGGTAGGCTAGGTCTAGGCCAGTCCATCCAGTCTGAGTCTAGAGCCTGTACGGGCAATATCAGAGTCTGCAATGATGTTTCCCTCCGAAAGGGAGGAGGTACCGGTTGCTTGGGAGGCCGAGCAGCCTGGAAGTCACCGCCCAGGAGGCAAGCAGGCCACAATATAAAGAGGCCGAGGCAAGAGCTCGGCCTCGTTCTTCAGTGTGCAAGTTTGGCGACACGCTGCTGGAGCGCTGGCTGGAGTAGCGCTGGGTACTACAGCGCTGCTGGGAGGAAGAAGCGGGGAGCTTCCACCTTCAAGTTGGCTATGGTGGAGCTCTACAGGTAGGAGGAGGAGGGAGAAGGGGACCAAGGAGGAGAGTGGTGGGGTACTTACCTGGCTATGGTAGACACCATCTTCATCACCTTGTTAGGCGCTGCATCTGGAAGGCCCCAGTGGGGGTAGTGCCGCATCAAGGAACCTCAGGACAGAGTCGGTCATGGCGGCATAGCTGCATGGAGTTGACCTGGGGACAGAAGGGCAGCGACATAGCTGCTTTGGGTTGTCCTTTGGACAGGAGGGAGAGCCCTCAGTACTCCGCCATAGCCTCGGCCTGTATGTAGAGGAAGAGGAAGGGTGGGCATGACTATGGTGGACCTCATGTTGTGCTTGCAGTAGAAGTGGGATTCGGACATTGATTCTGGTTCAGCCATTCAACATTATTATTGTTATTTCTTGTTTGAATAAGAGGGGAGGAGATAAGGAGGAGGAGATTGGTTGGCGAGGAAGAAGAGCCTTGTCATGCGCCAACTTACTTATACGTGTACCCAGTCCGACAGGCCCCTGGTTGGGGAGCACTAAATTATGCTTATGCCGAGGAAACGGGCAGGCAAAATTGGGTATGCAGTACTATGCACATAATTGGCCCAGGTATATGCAGAATTAGCATTCTGGTGGGTGGGTATACCTGCAATTTGGTGGTACCAACCTTGGCCCACCTTCGTCCTGCGCATGCAAATAAATTTTATTATTATTATTATTATTATTATTATTATTATTATTATTATTTTCATGCAAATAATTTGGAATCCCTGCCCATGCAAATAATTTGGAATCTTGGATAGACCATTTCCCGCAGATGAGGATAGATGCAACTTGGGGTCCGTGACTGGGTATAGCGGGCATTCCCATCTTTACATGGGGTACAGATCTAGGTTACCAGAGAGGCCCGGGGCCACTTGCCCGGCCAGGCCAAAAAATGAATAAAAACATATCATAAAATTAATTTAAATTATTAAAAAATATATATTTTTCTGATTTGATTTTTTAATTTTATTTTGGCAAAGAATTTTGATCCCACCCTGAGGCAAAGGTTGTTCTAACTTGTTCAGTTTTTTATTATACCAACTGGAAATCGAGTCCGGCATCCCTTGCATCAAAGGCAGCCAGGGTATGAACCGGGCCGGAGTGCCCGGACGATACCTGAAAGGCTGCCCATAGTAGTTTTTTCTTTGGGATTTCGGATTTTTTCTTTTCTTTTTCTTATTTTACAGGGACCTTCCCTTGCTAGGCCACCTGGGCCGCCCAGCCAAGCAACCAAGGCAACCTGGGCAGCCGGGTTCACATGCAATTTTCCCAAAAATAAAAAAAGGGAAGGTCAGGTTATCACTGGCGTCTATCACTTTCTGCCTAACACTGGCGGGCGCTTAAAAAAAAAAAGAAAAAAAAGAAAAAGGGAGAGAGAAACAAAACAAACGAAACCAAAACAACAACGATTAGTAGTCGATTACAAAGGAGCCGCCTGACGCGGGGACTCCAAAATGAAAAGCCAAAATCGTCAGCTGAGGCAGACTTGCTAAGGACCCAGCAGATGTCCGACTGGCTGACATCCAACAGTCCCGGGGAGTAGTCCCTCTGCTCTGAGTGCCCAGGTCATCCGTGCTGCGATGGGTAGGCAGAAAAAAAACATTCCCTCCCCTCCTCCCAGTACCCTGATTCTGGAAACAGCAGGAAAGACAAGTACCAGGTTTCTAGTCTAATTCCACAATTGAGTCCAATTCCAGATTTGGGCCCACAAATGAGAATGGGCCCGCAGCATTCACATTGCACAAGACAGGTCACGGTGACCGTAGCATTGAAAACATTTCTAATGCACTTGGAAGCACTCCCCCTTTGTTGCCCATAGTCTGCGACACTTCGCCTCAATCGATAGTATTCATTTTATTCGAGTGAGAGTTATTTACTATTATTTATTGTGGTTTCAATTAACACAATTGCGATGTCGACTCATCACATCCTGGAGCAGGAGAAAACGTAACCTTCTCTCCTCTACACCTTGTTTTTTCTTCACCTTCGTCTTTGCCCAAAATCTGTACCCCTTTTTCTCTTTTTTACACCCCTCCCCCCCAACCCTGCTCTTTCTTCACCTTCACCTTTGCCCAAAGTCTGTCCCCATCTTTCCTTTCCTCCCCACCCCGCCCCCTCCCCCCTCCCCATTGCCCAAAGGCTGTCCCCCTCATCTATGGCTGTGTCGGAGGAACCTTCAGCTGTGAGCCACCGCCTTCTATTGGTGCATACCATCTTCCCAATACCCACGTCAGAGATGCGGGAGTTGTCAATCTCCGCTTCTTATTGGCCCGGGAGAGCTTACCCATATCCTCTACGTTTGGCGCAGAAGAAGCGCCGACTGCTTCGGATTGAAATGCAGAGACTGCCGTTGCCACCTTTCGGGCGTAAAACACACCAGCGCAAGTGCAAGGGCAGGACTAACCCATCATCATTGCTGAAACACTACAGGCTGATCGTGTGTGGGCTGTGATACAGGCAGTCTCTCAAGGGAACTGTTATGAACGACATACGGCGTGAAGTTTCCATGCACAACACGATTATAGAGCCAAAGGGAATAAGCCGGTGCCCCTAAAATTATTCCAATGGCTGCTAACGTTGCCACACCATGGGCGCAGCTTGAAAGCACCAAAAAAAAAGGAAAAAGAAGAAGGGTAACCCAGGGTAAGTGTAAAGGATAAGGGTAAGGGTAAAGGATAAGGGGAAAGAGGAAAAGTAAGGGGTAGGACTTGTAAAGCAAGGGCAAGGGTAAGGTCCAGGCACTACAGAAGGGCAAGGGTAGAGGGTAAGGGTAAAAGATAAGAGTAAGGGTAAGAATAACTGTAAAGCGAAGCATAGGGGTGAAGGGTAAACACTACTAAACAGTAAGGGGATAGGCGTAAACGGTAAGAGTGAGGGGTAGCAAGGGAAACGTACTTTTAAAGCAAGGGCAAGGGTAAGCAGCAGGCCCTACTGAAGGGCATGGGTAGAGGGTATGGATAAAAGGTTAGAGTAAGGGTAACCGAAAGTGTAAATGTAAGCACGAAGGGTAAATAGTGAGGCTAAGGGTACGAGGTAAGAGTAGGGAGGGGTAAGCGTAAAGCAGGCATAACGGTAAAGGGGTAAACAATAAGTGTGACAGTATAGCTAATACCAAAAAGAGTGGTCATGATAATGAGAGGAGAGGAGAAAAGCAAGCAGTAAAAGGGAAAAGAAGATTCGAAGGGGAAGCAGAAAAAGTGTCATCGCAGGGGAGGGGAGAGAAGAAGAAACGGCAGTAGAAGAGAAAAAGCAGTCAAAATTAGGAAGACATGAGGGAGAAAGACAAGGAAAAGAAGCGGAGACCAATGTGGATGGTTTGGTAAAAAAAAAAGGGAAAAGACGTGGAGGATGTCGGGTTCGAAATCGAGGACAGCACCCCTAGCAGCCGCTCGGGCAAAAAAAAAAAAGATGGATAAGACTAAGGGTTAGATACTACGTCCCACAAAAGGTGGGAATAAACTTTCCTAATTCGGAATGCCTCTTCTACAGTGCTCGCTCGCTCGATCCACTGGTTCACCACATACGCGATGGACATGCCATGGACATGAGATGAACATCCCATGAAACACGACATTACGCGGACACGTCGAAACCACACGTGAGGAAAACTGCATACAGAAGGCGCCCAGTAATGGAGCCAATAACGCAACGTAGCCGTCAACTCAGGAGATCAGATCCTTCTTGAGACAGGTTGCGTCTTTCGCCTACTCGTCTAGCGAACAGGTAACGGAGACCATCCTTGAGATGAACATACAAACGTGCATCGGACCACATCTCTGCCTTTGATACTGAATTTGACTCAACCCTACACTTAAAAAACTTCGACTTTCCGGGATGTTAACTCACATGAACTACATCCAGATTCCCTCGAAATTGCGCAAAAAAAAACACGAGTACATCCTAAATAATCCGGAAGACAACAAAACAACTCACCCCAAACGTGACGCCACCAGCGGCCCCGAGAAACCCAGCCATCACAGCCTATCAGCCTGCCCACCTTCAGCAATCAGCAATCAGGCAACTGCTGAAACATTACCACCTACCTCCCCACTTCCGAGTTCATTCACCTGAGCAGAAGACTGTCGCTAGGCCCTGTCGAATTGACACGTCCACGCTGTGGGAGTACTCCAGAGGGTCCTTCCTCCCGTCTTTTCTCGTCCCGTCTCCCCTTGCCAAAATCTCTCCATCTGCCGCAATGTACCCACCCATTCCGCTATCCTTCCCAGTGGATCTTCCCCCAGCCTCCAGCTTCAATGCCCGGATCTGCGAGCACGCATTAACCAGCCATTCGAGAACACAGTCACCGGAACCCCCGAAGTCATATCCACAACTTGTTGGTTAACCACAACCTTTCATTTTATTATTTTTTTTTTCCTTGTCTTATAGCAGAAAGGGCAACAGAACAGCCTTGTGATCTCATCTTTAAAGTTTGAACCTGCGTAGCATCACATTCGAGCTCGCTGACCAAACCCGAACGCTCGGTACTGAGCCCAAACGTGGCCCAAAACTACCGAGCCCCAACATTTTTATTTTTTTATTTTAATTTATATATATACATGTATATAAGGGGTTGGGGGGCCCGGGCGGCATTGCTCATCACTCCTGAACACACACACACACACACACACACACACACACACACACACACACACACACCTCACACACCCCACACACAAGAGGATGCGTTCGGCAGCCCCCTAATTTGCGCTCGGCCGAACATGTTTGGTTCCCGCTCGGCCGAGCGTCCGTGTGGCGCCGAATATGTTCGGCGTGCTACGCAGGTTTGAACCAACCAGGCCCACTTAAATTCATAGAGTTGTTTGACTCATCTGATTGAACTGATTCCATTGGAATTCGAACTGACGTCTGCAGTTCAACAGTCTGCTGGTTTGCCAACTGAGCTACCTTCTTCCCCCAAACACAACGCACCCTCATTTTGAAACATGCCTTGTATACGTTCGTTTTCAGGGTGCGTTATGTTTGGGCGAAGACGGTAGACCAGTCGGTTATCCACAACTTTTTTCAGAATGACTTTAATCAAGTTTACTCGGCTCATTTCACGGTATCTGGATTCAAACTCGAGTCTGCATATTTCTCACAGTTAATGGTTGCCCGCATTTTTCTTTCCCTTTTTTTTTGTATGTTAAAAAGGGTGACGGCCTTGAGATATCACCACGAGTTACTCGGCCCCAAGTAATTCAGCAATATCTCATTGCATTCATCTAGTTCCACGGTCTGGATTCCAACTTGGGTCTGTGATTCAAAAGTTGACGGGTGTACCAACTGACCTAGGCTCGTTGGTAGCTTGGCCCGTTTGTCATATCCACAACCTCGTAGTTTTCCATTCGTCGAAATTAATTTCACACTTGTTTCTTTTTTTTTGTTAAAGCTTCTTTCTTCTCCTCATTGTGGGCACAGCCATATATCTTTTTCTCAATTATATTTTTCTAGCCCTTAAAAGTTAAAACCATCGACTTCGACTCCCACAACCAGCAAACAGACCCCCGGGGCACTACTACGTCAGCAAGCTCTACTTTTACAGCTGTAAAATTAATGTGACAAGTCAACAACTTCTCGTTGTTACTTGTGTTCAGTCCAACATGTCAGCATACTTGCAAGCGGACGCCGTCCGGGCGGTTCCGCACGTGCGGCAGACCGCCGGACCGGACCCGCGCGGCGCACGAATGTGCGCCCGACGACCAGTTACGCCGCCCCCCCCCCAAAAAAAAAACAAATCGCCCCCGTCCGGTCCGGTCCGGGGGGAGGGTGCTGCACGCGGCAAAGCGGACCCGACCGGACGCTCGTCCGGTCCGTCTGCTTGCAAGTATGCTCTTGATACCTTCACGTTGATCTCATCAACATGTCAGCAGGTGAACTGTTGAATGACTGTCGATAACGGGCCTCGCTCCGGTCCGGGGGGAGGGTGCTGCACGCGGCAAAGCGGACCCGACCGGACGCTCGTCCGGTCCGTCTGCTTGCAAGTATGCTCTTGATACCTTCACGTTGATCTCATCAACATGTCAGCAGGTGAACTGTTGAATGACTGTCGATAACGGGCCTCGCTCAACCACTCACCACGGGCACAACGACAAAATATCAGGCGGCATATCTGTATCTTCCCATGTTCTACCGGAATACTCATCTCATGTCGGCATGATTTTGCACATCAGCTGACTGGTGAAGCTAGGGTTAACGTTTTTTTTTTTTTTTTTTTTTTTTTTTTTTTTTTTTTTTTTTTTTTTTTTTTTTTTTTTAATGTTTAAATGTCCATGTCGTACGAGAGGGTGTAGTTAAAAAAATGCCGAGTTCCAAATCATGACGGAGCAAATCAAAGAGTTCGAACTTGGAAATACTACCGGACAGTGTGGACACAACCCCATGTAAAAGTCAATCTCATTCACAAAACATGAGGACATAAATAAATAAATAAATAAAATAACAAGAAGGGTCCCGATAAAATTTCAGTGGGGGGCCAATGGGGGGTCGAAAAGGAGTTCACCTGCTCCCGACAAAACATGAACTCCAAGAAAGGGAGGGGGGGGCTTTTGTGCTATTGTTCTCATTTGTCCACAAGTAGGCCTCACACAACAGAATGCCACAAAGGCTGTATACATGCTAAAGACGGGGGCATGAAGGTCTGTATTAAAAATTAAAATACTATTGTTTTATTACATTCTAAAGGATGGATTCGAATTTCAAACTGAGGTGTGTATTTCAACTTTCGACAGGTCGTTAGTGAGAGCTCGTCATGGGGTTACAGAAGAGATGCATCTAAAACAGAGAAAAATGGCGAAGGTGGCCGAGTTCAGTTGGCACATCTGAGTTCGAATCCAGACGCAACCAAAATAACCAGGATAGTCATTCTGAAGTACCTGGGGCCGGTCAGTTCCATGATGATGATCTAAAGATTCTAAAGACCGTCGCCCTTTCAAACAAAAAAAGCCGAATCTGGCTAATGGCCCCAGCCTTTTCCAGGTTGATGATGATCCAAAGACCATCGCCCTTCCAAACAAAAAAAGCCGAATCTGGGTGACGGCCCCAGTCTTTTCCAGGTTGTTTGTGAGGGAATCCGGGCCTCATTCGTCGTGGTGCCCATCGGAGGTCGCCTCGTCCCCCCCCCCCCTTGGTGTGAAGTTGTAGATGTTGTGTGGATGGTGCTGTGTGCCCTCGTCGTCTGCGGTCATGCGCTCGATGGAGCTATTGTGCGCCACGTGCCTGTGTGGTTTTGTGCATGTGCATGGCGCAGGGTAAGGACACTAAAAAAAAAAAAAAAAAAAAAAAAGGGTAAGGACACTAAAGCCATGCAGGCATGGGTGGATATGGCAACCGGTATGGTTCCGCCGCTTTAGTACACCGTGCCACGGCGGCCGTATGTACAACTGGTATGATTCCGCTTTTGTGCATGTGCTAAGAAACGCGGCTCCTTAGGCTGATGGCGTGGGATCGAATCCATGCATGCACAGGGGAATGGATATCACAACCAGCATGGTTCGACGATTGTACACCGTGCCATGGCTGTAGCGGTTAAGAAACTCTGCTCTTGGGGTTGAGGGTGCCAGTTCGAATCCGCACATGCACGGAAGAGGTCCAAGGCTGGAAACAGTACCGACTGATCACCTTGCTGAAAATCAGATGGTACACAAAACCAGTGCTGCATACCGAGAAAGCCAGGATTAAAAAAAGAAAAATAAAGAAGAAAAGAAAAAGGATCACCCCACTACTGCTGGTTGATAACAACTGAGAAGTCCCCCCCCCAAAAAAAAAGAAAAAAAAGAAAAAAAAGGAAAAAAAAAAAGAGGATCACCCCACTCCTCTGGTTCCTTCTGCCAGAGCCCACAACTGCCATTCAGTCCACCAATGCAACTGAGACACCAAGATCCCCCAGAAAATGAAAAAAAAAAAGAAGAAAAAAAAGGATCACCCCACTCCTCTGGTTCCTCAGGTTTTAGCAAATCTTTGAGACATCCAACATGCTCTCCTGGATCCACATACTATATCTATCGAGTTTCGCCACGCCTTTTTTTTTTTTTTTTTTGCCCTCACATGCTTCTTCATCTACTTTGATATTTCAAGTTCTTCCCTGCATTCTGTGTACTATTCGAGTTCAAATCTTTTATTGCACTCTCATTTATATTCCCCCCTGCCCTCAAGAAAAAGAGCAACACGCTTGCTTCACGTGTGTTGTGGGCCATGGGGATCACCTCCTCTTTTTTTTTTTCCTTTTTTTTCTTGTAGCTCACCTTCAGATACGTGACCTCTTTGAATTTCACATGAGCTCCAGATTCAATCAATAGCAGCAAATACAACAGCTTCAGTCTCCCACACTTTCTGATAAGAAAGAGGTCCAAGCATCCATCTGATAGCTGCAGGCGCAAGTACAATCATAGATAGACACCACAAAAACTTAGAACCACGCAAGCCATTGTGAATCACAGCCTTCTCTTCTCTTCTCTTCTCTTTTCTTCTCTTCCTTCCTTCATTTCTTTTTCCTTTTTTTTCCTTTTTTCGCTAGGCTACCAGCCATGCCACCCGGGTCACCTTGTTTGCCCGGGGTGCCCGTCCATGCAAGAGCCATAGAAGGTCCCAGCAAAAAGGGGAGGGGAGGGGGGGGGGGGGGGGGAATCCAAAAATTCTGGAAAAAAAATTACGTTATGCAGAAAAATAAACTGAACAACTTTTGCCTCAGGGTCACATCGAAATTCTTTTTTGGCCCGGCCGGGCAAAAGTCTTCCCTGGCCACTCTAATAGCCTAGAAGTTTCAGTTTTTTCTTTTTCCCTGCTTTTTTAGCCTGGCCGGGCAAAATTCTTTTTTAGCCCGGCAGGGCAAAAGTCTTCCCCGTGTTGCTCGACAAGCAACCCTCGTGGTGGACTCGTCCCATCGCGAGGGTTTTGTTGTCTCTATCTTGCAGGTATCGAAGCATCGCGACGTTGTTTCCAAGCTGGCGCGCGGTGTTATTCAACTTATTCCTCCATTCTGCAGGGGTGTTTTTTTTTTTTTTTTTTTTTTGGAGCTTTACTTTTTACGTTGATCAGCGTACTCCTTTTGCATCCTTCATCGCGGGCGATCCTCATTATCTGACCGCTGTTGGTCATTTAGGCCCTTGGTGGTTTCATCGCGATTTGCTTTTCGCTCCATCTTGTATCTTACCCCGCCGACGATCTTATCTTCACTATAGTGCTAGCGACTTTTTCATTCTCAGACTTACCTATTCGGTAATGTTGGCGCGTCCATCATTTTCTGGACGAAGAAGTCCCGTGGATTGTCTCGTTCCTTGTTATTGCATCACTTGTACTGCGAGGGCGTTGTATTTTCACTTCATCTTACATTTGCGATTGTTCTTTCCGCATGGAGTATTTGTCACCCATCTCGGACGCTGGCATCGTGATATCATCGATTGATTCGTGCTAGTTATTGATATTCGTATTCGGTCGCATTCAGTTTTGCAGCTGGTTTACTCATTTCGTTTTTCTCATTTCTCATTTCTCATTTCTCATTTTGCATTTTTCATTTTTCATTTCAATTACGCGGGCATTCGGGGCGGTAACAACGTACGATCGCGGCGATCACCACCAAGCTCGGCTCAACTTCAGAATATGGGACGGTCACGATCGAGGTCAAGATCCAGGTCACCAACTCGAAGGAGTAAGAAGGACGATTCGAGGCGTGGGAGATCTCCTGCTCGTAGAACTGATCGCTCGCCGGACAGATCCAGCGAAGATAGATTACGAAGACGTGATAAACGTAGATCAATGTCCTCTTCTACCTCCAGTAGACGAAGAAGACGCAGCTCATCTCGAGATAGAGGGAGGAACGATTGGCAAGACGATCGCCGAACGGAGTTCCAATACAACAAACTGGCTCCGGGAAACAGAGCTTGGTTCACCGTTGAGCTTCGTGACGAAATGTATGCCCTGCGCCGCGAGCTCGACCGGCCGAGGAAAAAAGTGGAGAAGCTTTCTGACGATTTCCGAGCACATACTGCGAAGAAACCAGCTGGCGAGATCAGCGCTGACATGCTGAAGCAGGCGGTTGACAAGGCAGTGCAGGAAGCAATGTCCGGACCCGAGAAGAAGATCGAGGTCGAGACGGACCAGTCTAAGCGCGTTGCGAAAGCCAAGGCTGACGAAGCAGCTAGGATGGCTACCCTCAAGAGGCAGCTTGATGACATGAAGGAGCTTCGATACGATCTGGAGAATCTCCAAGGACAGATCAACGCCTACAAGTCTCCCCTCAACAAGCCATTCATCTCTCCCAAGCCAAGAGCTCCACCGAACAAGACTCCAAAGAGGACACCAAATGCCATCGGTGCTGGCCCAAGTGGAGTGAAGAAGCCAGCGGCCAAGAAAGGTGGGCGTCCTAATGGAGTGCGTACCTCAGCAAGAAGGCGGATACTTGAAGGCAGACAGTTATCCGAGACGATGCTTGGAGCACTGCAGATGGACGATCTCAAGAAGCTCTGCGCGAAGTATAACGTACGATACAAGGGGATCCCGCAAGCGCGCGTGGCATTGAGGAAAATTCCCGGGCTGATCGTCGACATTACCGAGGATCTCGCAGACGACGCTGAGCCAGGTGACGAAGTTCAGGGCAAGGAGACATAACCGGAACCTACAGAAGCATCTAACTCGACCTCTTCTGATGAAGACGATGAGGAGGCTGACGAATCAGATGATGCCGCTGAATCCGCTGAGGCCGAACCGTCGGTGGATGTGCACCCTTCGAGCCACTAGAATTAACCTGGCCGTCGCTCTCATGTCTCACCGGTGATATACTATGGAGCTTCTTGCAGTGCTGAAGTAGTTCACTTGCAGCTCTCATCAGCCGTAGACAATGGAAAGACTGTCGGATTGTAAACCGAGCTTACCGGATTTGCACGATCGCACTGCTTCGCAGGTCCGAGGTCACATGGGGTAGATGGATTGGTGAGCTAATTAACGAGCTGCATACTGATGTGTCTGTGCTCATCCAGAGCAAAGTTTGCGTATACGTCTGGATCTCTCCGTGGTGTCGGCATATCTATATTGGTAAGACAATTAGGGGTATCGATACCCGATGGAGAGAACACGCTGCAGCAGTCGTCCGTAAGGAGAAGAGGCAGCATCGGAAGCTCTACTCGTGGATTAGCAAGTTTGGTTTACACCGTTATGTCTGTATTCCTATATGGGTGGGGAGTATTACTGATGTCGCACACGTGGAGAAGAAACTCATCCAGAAATGGGATCCTTATCTTAACTCACTTCACCGATTCAGGATTAATGGTAAGAGGCGGAGTTTAAGAAAATGAAGTAGACGCAGGAATTATCAAGGAACTTGCCTGGTGTTCCTGTCCGATTTCAGTCAGGAAATCTGTGTACCACTAATCTGTCTGGATTTTTTTAACCCCACGCTGTGATTCAGTCGTTCCCTGGTAGTCTTTGGGTTGAGCCATGGAAAGTAATTAAGCACCGATACGGAGACAGCCTAATTATTCTGGATGGTAAGAAGATCACCCTGCGCGAAAGCAGACCTCATATCGAAGTAGGTTGCCTATTCCAAGTTGCCTGTTGTGTTGAATATATTAGTAAACACGATAGGATCATGAGGAAGCTCATCGCTCTCCTCCGTGCACCATGGACTAGAGCCAAACTATACCGCTGCTCATTAACCCGCTCGATTGATCTCTACTCTGGAATGTGTGCCATTGCATCGAAGAAAAGTAGGGGAATCCTACGTTGTTGTCTATCTAGGACAGCAATCAGGAAATATGGTGTTAATATAAGGAAGAGACTGATTTTGAGGGTTCCTTTCTCAATTGACATTGATATCGCTAATGTACTGTGCCTTTTGCAGCAGACTGTACTTTCGAATATCACCCACGTATCGCTGGCTAAGACGCTTGTTAAGCGATCGAGAGTCATGTTTGCTAAATCTAAGACTATCGGTGATCCCTTGCACAATCACAGAATGATGGTTCCCACCAAACCACACTGTCCTTGTGATCAATTTGACTTTCCGAAGATGGACGCACACGTCCCCTTCAGGCTATCTGACTACGTGACTGACTCTGTGATGTGCAACTCCAAGAATGTTCCATATTTCCACGGCAAGGACAGCAAGGTAGCCATTGAGCAAGCTATCTCACGACTTATTAACTGCCTTCCTAAGAAGTATGCTACAGTACCTCCCCTATTTCATAACACTGACGCCTGTGTCACAAAAAAGGAATATAGACGTCATGGTGTTAGTATCTCGACGGTCTTAGGTTGGAAAGTGAAACTGAGAGCATTTGTCCGGTGTCCTCTGGACCGAAATCCTGGTGAAACCTTTGTGGAATGCCCGATGGTGTTCTGGGGACGGATGCATCAGATGTTTATGACAGTACGGAATTATGAAGTCACTAACACTACCATGGAAGACATTCTGGATAAGAACCGGATTGAATACAAGGATCTGGGCTTGACGAAATTCGCTCCATGGAAAGTACAAGGCAGATATGGGCATGCATACGTCATGCCTAAGCATAAAGATATCACAAAAAGAAGACCCATTGTCAGAACATTTGATGAACCCTCGTTGCAGGCATCTAAACTCCTTTCAAGATGTGTTAACTTCCTTACCAGACAGGCAAGGAGTGGTTTTGGTATGCTAGGAAAGAACGAGCTGGTCGCACGCATCGATGAAATCAACCATCGTGCGGTGAATCTATTCCAGGACCAAGCTGCTGTCCTCTGCAGCACGTTCGATGTGAAGGACATGTTTACATGTCTTGATCATACCCACATACTCAGAGCCGCTGACTGGTTGGTTTGTCAGTACTTGGCAAAGAACATTACTCACGTATGCCTGAAAATTCAAGGTAATAAGATTCAACTAGGTAAAGCTAAAGGACTGTGGGGATGGAAGACTATCAAGATTCGTGACTTACCACGGCTACTGCAGTTTGATATCTCACACGCCTATTTCGTGGTCCACGGGCATTTGCTGAGGCAAGTGCTTGGGATACCGATGGGTAAAGGCTCTAGTCCTGCCATTGCTAATCTGGTTTGTAATTTTGATGAATTTTACTGGGTAAAGTCACTTGGTTCGGATGAGAGATTAATCCATGGGTCTAGATTCGTGGACGACGTCTTCCTTGCTGCAATCCATGAGAAGAACCAGCCACTGGAGGCACAGGCCTTACTTAAGCGATTTGCAGACTGTTATCACTCGTCGTTGAAGCTTGAGATCACTGCCACTGACACTGAAAACACAGTTAAGTACCTTGAGACATCCATCTGTAAGCAAGACAAAGGACCCCTCCTGAAGTGTTTGCATCGTCTGAAAAATCTGGAGTCACTCCGGGAGGGTTTTCTGGGCATTTTCATACGATCAAACACTTCTCGAGTTTCGGTCCAGACAAAGGGAAAGCATTAACCATACTCGGGACTGTACACCGTATTCTTTCCAACACGTCGGTTGAGCATGAAGCAATCCCGATTATCAAGCTATTCTTCACAGAAGCTCGGCTACTCGGGTACCCGAAGAAGCTGCTGAGACAGTCAGTTCACGCGATCTGTCGAACTAGGATACAGAGACGAACGGCCAGAGCCATTCTGACATGGCTTAACGTGAATGTTGGTTAAAAAAGCCAGAGCTCGATATTGTAACCATTTTTTAACGGGTAGTACCAACCCCTAAACTACACTATTTTTTCTAGGCCGGCTGAAATCGTAATTTCTATTTTTTACTATTGAAAATTTTTTTGGCATTATTAAGCTTGACCACGGCGGAATCTTACCATATAGGCACTTGCTGCCAACGGCAGTTGAAGAATGCTGAGCTCCGCTGCTCAGAGCGAGGAGTTGGGATCGCGACATCTGCAGTTGTTGTTTTTTTGGACTACAGAACGGCTAGGAGGATATCGGTATACGTGTTTCAACGAGCAGGACGATCTGAGGAAGGAGGAAGTCGGTGGTGACTGTCGAAGGACCTCGTAGTTTTTTAGAGTTGAGGCGACTGAGACACTATTTAAGCCTAGTTTGAGATAGCATCATTGCCTGAGTGGACGAGGCAGAAGGGCGATGCTGGTTGCACTCGTGCAGCCAACTTTTTTGATCTGGCACATTATGTCCTCCTCGAGAGTAAAGCCTCACATTTTGTGCTAAGTGTATCGATTGTCCTGCTTTTTTTTTTTTCTTTTCCCGACCCTATGCAAGCTCACGTTTCCTGGTCACTGGAGTTTCGTGCAAGGCTAAGTGCGGCAGGGAACCGTCGAAAGCCGAGTTGCACCAAAACAGTCGAGTCTCTGGTCAAGAGAAGGACGATGTTTGCGTCATGATGACACCGTTATTCCTCCTCCTGCTGCTTCTGCTGCTATCCATCCGTGCCAGATCATTCATTCATTCCACCCCCCCTCCAAATCATTGGCACTAATAACTTTCGTTTCTCTCCCCTTTTCCTTTCAGGATTTCAATCCATTTCACTTCTTTCACCGAACGACTGTGCACTCGCCCGGCCACACATTGCATCCCATCCGATTGCATTCATCCATCTTATCGCATCCCATGCTACCCATGCATCGCACCCCATCCAATCCCATCGCCGCCAATCCAATTGCGTTCCCTTTGTTCCCTGAAAATAAATAAATAAATAAATAAATGTTGCCGGCAAATACCCCCAGAGGGTGATAAGAGCACCCCCCGCCGGATGGAGGCCGCCATAAGATGGCTTGAAACATCCCATTGGATCCCCATGCTACTGAAACATCCCATCTGATCGGATCCCCATTCCCTCACTGATCCCATCCTACCCCATCACATCTACTCACCCCACCCCAACCCATCCACACACATCCCATCTCATGCCGTTCCACCCTCCCATCTCATCATCGCATCGCATTGCATCCCAAACTCGTCTCATCTCGTCCCATCTAACACTACCTGCTGAAGGGGAATTGGAGGCCTGAGGCAATAATGTTCCTAACGGGGCCGATAGTGCGATAGGCGAAGGCTTCGCCTCTTGATACCCATGCAGCTTCAGACAGCGACCAGGAATGGCAACGACTTACTTCAAGTTTGTCGGTGTCGTTCCATGCTTGGCTTGGAATCTGAGCGCCTGAGACTTTACAGTCGGCACTTTAGACGTACTCATGAAGCTTGCTTCAGACAGCGAGCAGGAACGGCAACGAGCGACTTCGAGTTTGTCGGTCCATGGTCGTAGGAGAAGACACAGATCCAAAAAGAACCAAAAAAGAACCAAAAAAGAACCAAAAAAGAACCAAAAAAAGAAAAAAAAAGAAGAAAAAAAAAGGAGACGACTGCGATCTGAGTGGCTGGTTGCTTGCCTCCATGGGAGGCAGACACTTGGCTTGATTACTTCCCCTTATCCACTTGGTTAGTTGAGTCTGGGTTTGTAGGGTGAATAACGAACTTCTTCAGTGACGACTCACTGATGAGCATAAGTCTGATTGGGAAAGGGGTGCACGGAGGAGGGACCGGCAAGGACGAGGAGTTCTCTTCCACTTGCAATCGAGTTCTCTTCCACTCAGTTATTTTTCTCTGCATCAACTTCTCTGCGTGCCATGAGCGACTGATGTGAGCCGCCTTCAGCCACTCAGCCATTCCTCCCAGAGAAAACGGGATTTGAACCTGCGACTTCTTTTTTTTTTGTTTTTTTTTTTGGGTGCGGGGGGGGGGGGGGGAAACGGCCCGAGTTGATGGTAGGGCTGCCGCTGATACGAGCAGGCACCACTGGCACTCTCGGGGGTACCATCTATTGGTGGTGGGGACCAGCACCTGCTGGAAATCGGGTCTGGCTGTGTTGACAGAGACTACCCTTGTGGAGCACATCAACGTAGAGGGGCTCTTCATAGCTCATCACATTTGAGTCCTTCCATCAATTTGCAACTTCGGATAGAACTTGCCGATTCCCCACAAAATTGCAAAAACGACCCTGTTAAGGTTTACAACCCGCTCCCGCTGTGAATCTACAGGTTCATTGCAAATCCAACCAAACCACCAACAGAAGAGGTGGGGAAACTGCTCCACACTCCATTCAGGTCTTTTTTTTTTTTCCCCCCTATTAAAAATAAAAATGAAGAAAGGAAGAAAAAAGAGAGCTGGAAACAGGCCTAGCTGAGTTGGTACACCCATCAATTGTTGAAATACGGACCTGAATTCGTGACTCCATCCATATGAGCTATAACCCGAACAAAATCAATTTTAAAATGTAATGGAGAGAGAGAGAGAGAGAGAGAGAGAGACAGAGAGAGAGAGAGAGAGAGAGAGAGAGAGAGAGAGAGAGAGAGAGAGAGACAGAGAGAGAGAGAGACAGAGAGAGAGAGAGAGACAGAGAGAGAGAGAGAGAGAGAGAGAGCATGAAATCTTCCTCACCTGTGCCTCAGGAGCAGGCATCATGTCAGTGGCCGCATACTTAGTGTTCTGCAACCACACGAGGACAAACTCCCCCCTTATTTCCTGCCAATCCCCCTGAAGCCTTCTATCAGTCTCTTCGTCCGCCGCTCCTTCGGGCCCAAGCAGACCAACGCGGTGCTCCGGCTGGTCTGCGTCATTCCCCCCCACATCTCTCCTTCCATATGGCAAGTATTTTATGACCCCATTGTACATGCGAAGGTTGATGATTCGTATGATAGACTGCCACACAAGACAAGAGCATCATGATGGATGATAAAACACTCTTAAGAGTCTTGAGACACACAGCGACAACATACATCACCGGGTCACCCTATCATGATGGAAGATAGATAAAACAAACACTGTCGAGAAACATAGTGGCAGCATCATGTACTCCATTGTACATGCGAAGGTTGATGGTTCTAGAAACTTCGTACGATACTTCCTTCCACACAAGACAAGAGCATCATGATTCATGCTGGAAGATAGAACACCATTGAGACACACAGCGACAACATCAGCGATGCCATTCGTGTGTGAAGTTTTTGAAGCCGCGCCCGAAAAAACTCTCCGCCCTCTAGTTATTAGTTTATTACAGTTCTCAGGCAGACGGAGAAGAATACGAAAAACTTGGAAAAAGAAGATAAAGGGAAAGTTTTCGGCCAGCCGATAAGAAAAGGAAAGAAGACAACAGAAAAGTTTTTGGCCAGTGGAGAGGCAAGCAAGCTCAATGCAAAAATTTCACCACTTTATAAAGTCCACCCGCGAGGCCGACACTGAGCTTGCACTACTGGTTGCGAATGAGGGATATGCAGGAGTAGGAGACGACCACCTTGTTTCTGACTCTCCATGGAGAGGCAAGCAAGCAAGCTCAATGGAAAAATTTCACCGCTTCATGGGTTCGGAATAGCAGAAAGTTGCCACAAACCCATGAAGCAGAAACACTCCCAAGGATGTCCTTCGGGACAAGGGCTAGAATTGGAACGACACAGAGAGAAGATTATTAGCATGACCGCCTGAGCATTTCAAAAAAGAAACACAGAGGAAGCGGGGATGAAGTGAGAAAGATGACGTTGCTTCTCTCCCGCCCTCCCGCCTTCCCGCCCTCCCGCCTTCCCTCCCTCCTGCCTTCATTCATTCAGTCATTCATTCACATGTGTCATAATTGAAGTATCAATAAGAGGAGATGGGGATGAGGTGAGAGAGATGACATTAGTTCAACTTCGTGGTCTTCTTCTTCTTCTTCTTCTTCTTCTTCTTCTTTGTCTTCGTCTTCTTCTTCATCTTCTTTTTTTTCTGGTCTTTCTTCTTCTTCTTCTGGTCTTCTTCTTCTTCTTTGTCTTCGTCTTCTTTTCTTCTGGTCTTCTTCTTCTTCTTCTTCTTCTTCTTCTTCTTCTTCTTCTTCTTCTTCTTCTTCTTCTTCTTCGTCGTCGTCGTCTTCGTCTTCGTCTTCATCTTCGTCTGGTCTTCTTCTTCTTCTTCTTCTTCTTCTTCTTCTTCTTCTCTTCTCCAAGTCTAATTCCACTTTCTCTTGAGTTGTGATGTATGGCATCTTCTCAAAGTTGAGCCTTGCAGAGATGAGGAACATACCAGGGGGGGGAAGAAACTGATGTGAAGAGGCTGGGACTTGAATCACGAAGAACGTAAAGCAACACAGCAGCGGAACTTTGAATTTTCTGTCATGCATACATGCAGATATCTGCTTTTCATTTTCCAATTTCTTTGTGATCTGCAAAGAGTCCATGCATTATCGTGTTCCAATTTTAACGGATGTTGCGTGCTTGGGCTTCTTTCTATCAAGCGCTTGAGGAGACGACTGGCGGAAGAGGGATTCGAACCCCCGACATGTGCTGAGCATGAAAAGGATGCAGATTCTGCAGAATGGGGTATGTGAACCCGCTTGCCTACCTGCAAGATCAGCCTCAAACCGCCAAGCCACTGGTATTGCTCCGATTCAATATCCACATCGCTTGGTAACCCTGTGACAAAACAGCAATCCAATCAATGTTTTTTTTCTTTTTCTTTTTTTTTTTCGACCCAATCAATGCGATTGCAAGCTCTGTAATTCTGTTTTTTCACCTCAGCATCTGTTATACCACGGCCAGCCCCCGTAAAGATTGCACCCAGCTCAAATACTACTGCACCCAGCCCACATAGTACCGTGAAAAGCCCAAAGATCATGGTACTGGTTTTTGGACACACTTGTTTGTCAAATGTCCTCGTGTTTTCTGCCATGCTTAGCCTCAGGCATTTTGTGGAAATGAAGGTGACAGTGGGTCGGGGTGATTCAGGAAGAGCAAACACTCATCCTGATGTGACCTTCTGAACCCTCCCTCCATCTTCCACCTCACTCTTTTTCCCTCGTGGAGTCGTGGTGGCCTATTTGGTATTGGCATTTTGTTAGCACGCAGCAGTGAGCAAACAGACTCCTTCAGCGCTACGTTCCATCCCCGTCCCCGTCCCCTTCCCGCCCCCCCTCCCTTCTCTCTCCCC